ATAGCAGTACACCTTCTTCCCAGCTGACTTGGTGAGCCCCACTTCATCCCGGGGTCATGTATCGTTTGTTCGTTATGTATTATGGTTGAGGTATAGCTGGGGCCTTGTTGTCGGAATTATCATTGTACTCTTCTTTAATTATAGAGGCTTCATACACATAGTGTGGGTTGTGTATTGGTACTGGGAAAGACAAACTATGCTATGTTGTGGTTGTAGTACTTGTCCATTTGAGACTTTGAAAATGGTGAAACTTATGGTAAGAAATTGGTAATTGCAGACACGACCACTTTATTGTTTAATTAGGGAAAACATATATTCTCTTTATTCATGAATGAGTTTGGGTAGAAGAAATCTAACAGGCTTGCTCGGTCGGGTTCACTCGGTTGAGAGCCGGTCGCGTTCCACGGTTTTGGGGCGTGACAATTATGATCTTAAGGAAGTCCACTGGTGGAATGATATGAAGAGGAATGTAGCGGACGTTGTGGCAAGATGCCCAAATTGTCAACAAGTAAAGGCCGAACATCAAAGGCCCAGTAGGTTCGTACTGAACATAGAAGTTCTGATGTGGAAATGAGAGATAATCAATATGAAATTTATGGTGGGACTACCTCACACGCCTCACAATTTCAACTCGATTTGGGTGATTGTGGATCGACTCACGAAATTAGCTCACTTCTTACCTGGTAAGCCTACCGACAAAGCAGAACAGTATGCTCAGTTATATATCAAGGAAATAGTCAGGTTGCATGGCAGTCCAGTTTCTATTTTCTCAGATCGAGGGGCACAGTTCACGGCTAATATTTTGAAGAAATTTTAGCAATGTTTGGGTACTCAGGTAAATATTAGTACAGCCTTCCATCCACACATTGACGGGGAGGCAGAGCAGACTATTCAGACGCTCGATGATATGTTGCACACTTGTGTTCATGACTTCAAGGGTAGCTGTGATGATCGTTTGCTGCTCATAGAATTTACCTACAATAACACTTATCATGCTAGCATTTAGATGGCACCGTTCGAGGCTTTATATGATAGGAGATGTAGATTTCCCACTGGATGGTTTGAGATTGGGGAAGCAAAGTTGATAGGGCCAGACATCGTGCATCGGGCTATGAAGAAGGTTAGGATCATTGCGGAACGGTTGAAAACTGCTCAGAGCTGCTAGAAGTCCTATTCGGATGTGCGCCATAGGGATTTGGAATTCAAAGAGGATGATTGGGTATTCTTGAAGGTTTCCCCCATGAAGTTTATAATGCGGTTTGGTAAGAAAGGAAAGTTGAGTCCGAGGTATGTCAGGCCGTATAAAATCATTCAGAGGATTGGTCGGGTGACTTACAAGCTTGAACTACCTCCAGAGATGTCTTCTGTGCACCGGGTGTTTCATGTATCCATGTTTAATAAGGTTAATGAGGAATTGACTTATGAAGAAATTCTAGTTGCCATTCTTGATAGGCAAGTCCGTATGCTGAGAAATAAAGAAATTTCCTCCGTTAAAGTGCTATGGCAAAACCAACAGGTCGAAGAGGCCACCTGGGAGGCCAAGGAAGAAATGATGAAGAAATACCCTCATTTGTTTAAATAGCTATGTTTTATGAAGTTGTGTTCTATGAAAATGCTAAGAGTTTACCTTCTATGAATTATGTTTCACTTGTACAATTGATATTAAGGGTGTTCCTTTTTAGTAATATGCTGCTCATGAGGCCACGATTGGCGTTGTTTTCATGTTATGTTGCATCGTTGGTTTATGTATTATGCTGTTAGGTTTGGTTTCTATAATTCTCTGATAGGTGGATAGGACCAATTACAGGGGAGACTCTGGCAAAATATTTGAAAAATTAGGGAGTTAGTCAAAATTTAGGAACTGCTAGTGTATGAAGTAATAGCTGAGTCACATTGGATGCTAATGGTGATTCTAATGGTGAACTTTGACCCTTATTCAAGGACGAATGATCTTAAGCAGAGGAGGATGTATGGCCCCTTAAAATATCACCTAAAAGTCGGGTTTTTGTGGCACCGAGGTAGAGTAATGTGATTGAGGGTTGTAGAAATTCATCGCGGTGAGCAAGCTTGTCGTGGTACAGACTTTGTGGGTTGTACAGTACGTCTGGGAGTTGCAGGAATCATTTTGTAGACCATGGCATTTCTGCGGTCCACTATGCGACCGCAGAACCACTTTGTGAGTTGTAGATCCGCCGCAGAGTGAAGCAGAGAAATGGCCAATGTTGGAGGTTGTTTTACGGTCCATTATGTGGACGAATAACCATTTCGCGGGCCGCACAATCCATCGTAGATCCAAAATGGGAAAACTTTGGAAGGAGGTTTTGCGGTCTATTATGCGACCATAGAACTGAGATGCGAACAACAGATCCATCGCATACCTCTCCAGCCCTGCCCAATTTTTGGGACCCTTCCTGGGGTTCCATTTGTGGGCCACATACCTGTTTTGCGGTCTAGTCTGCGACCCCAGACCTAGCTTCGTAGAGTTTAAGTTTTGGAAAATTTCACCCGATCCCATTTTTATAAAAACAACTTCAGGTTTATTTTGGCTGGTCCTACCTAATATTTTAGAGAGAGGGAAGAGGTCTAGAGTGAGGGGTATTCCTAAGCTAATTGTTCATCAAACCTTGCTCAAGACTTGGATAATTCACAAGGAAAACTCAAAAGATATTCATCCAAGAGGTAAGGTTCCATACCCTAGTCTTCAATTTCGAGTTTGGGGTAGAAGACGGGTAATGAAGAGTGTGATTCTAAAGCATGGTTGTGTTATCTATACATGCATGCAGTAACAGAGTTGTGGGAAGGTTGTTGAGCTCAAAAATGGTAGATATTGGATTGTGGGATGCAGGAATCCACCATAGGAGGACCTTGAAAACATAATGCACACCTAGTGCTTGATAAAATGGTTGAGTGAGCTGAAACTATGAATATCTTCCTAATTGTGGCTCAATTTTTATCATGTCTCTAAATAGATCAAATTTGCTAGGATTTCTGGAACTGTGTAGTAATTTAAGGGGCGCTCAAAGCGAGGTTATGTTGGCTAAACTCCTCTAGTAGAATCAAATCCATGATGTCCTCAAAAGTTGTAATTTTTATTGGCGCAAGCTCTTATGTCTCATGTTCCGAGTTATTCCTTATGAATTTTACTATTCCGAATAAACTCTGTGTCGAAAGATATATGATCAAAATGTTTCGGGATGCTCTTATCATATTGTGTTATCCTTCGATATTGTATTCGAATGTGACCACGTGTCGAAGTATTATGAATTTAATTTTGTCTAAATTGCTAGCTATTATGCCAAATTGTGGAAGAAAGCTCAATGTGCCTAAGACTCTTATTTGATTATATGTGTATTAAAAGTCATGATTAGAGATGCTTTTTTTTGCTAATCCATGATGATGTTTGAAAATTATAGGGGTGAACATGAAATAGGAAATACGTCCGACGTGCCAAGAATGATATTACATTTGTGGCCACTAGTGCCAATGAAATGAAAAGATGAGTAAAAGACTATGGAATGAGCTGAAAGTCCTTTGTATAATAAACATTTTGGAGTATCGTTAGACACTGATTTCGTGATGTCTTTTGGGCTTTCAGGACCCCGTATGGGCACTTTGAGTTTCTGGTGATGTCTTTTGGGCTAACAAATGCCCCAGCAGCTTTCATGTATCTTATGAATCGAGTCTTCAAACCTTTTCTCGACTCCTTTGTGATAGTGTTCATTGACGATATTTTTGTATATTGACGAAGTAGAGAGGACCATACCGATCATCTCAAGGCAGTTCTACAGAGTCTATATCAGCACAAGTAGTATGCGAAGTTTTCGAAATGTGAATTTTGGCTTGAACTTGTCACATTCTTGGGTCATGTTGTCTCCAGAGAAGGAATTAAGGTTGATCCTTAGGAGATTGCAGCGGTGCAGAATTGGCCTAGACCTAAAACTCCAATAGAGATTCGCAATTTCTTGGGCTTAGCTAGGTATTACAAGAAATTTATGGAGGGGTTCTCTACTCTTGCCCCTCAATTTACTAAATTGAGGCAGAAGGCGGTTAAGTTCTAATGGTCAGATGCTTATGAAAAGAGCTTCCAAGAGTTGAAATCAAGATTGACTACGGCACCGGTGTTGACCCTACCAAAGGGTACAAATGGGTTTGTGGTATATTGTGATGCTTCAAGGATCGAACTTGGGTGTGTATTAATGCAACATGGCAAGGTGATAGCTTATGCTTTTAGGCAATTCAAGAATCATGAGAAGAATTATCCAACGCATGACTTAGAACTTTCGGCGGTGGTATTTTCATTGAAAATTTGGCGTCATTATTTGTATGGGGTCCATGTGGATATATTCACGGACCATAGGTGCCTTCAATATATTTTCAAGTCGAAGGAATTGAATCTGAGGCAGAGAAGATGGCTTGAGTTACTCAAGGATTACGACATCGATATTCTATATCATTCGGGGAAGGCTAATGTTGTGGCGGATGCTCTTTGCTAGAAATCTATGTGTAGCGTGGCTCACTTAGAGGCATATCAAATTTGTTGGCCAAGGAGGTTCATTGGTTGGCTAGTTTGGGAGTTCGTCTTGCGGATTCTAGTGAAGGAGGGGTGCTTAAAATAGGGCTGAATCATCGCTTGTTGTGGAAGTCAAAGAGAAGCAATACAATGATCCATTGTTAGTGCAGTTGAAAGAGGGGATACATAAACATAAGACCACAACTCTTTCTCTTGGAATGGATGATTGTACACTAAGGTACCAAGGGTGATTATGTGTTGTAAACATAGATTGTATCCGGGAACGAATCATGAATTAGGCTCACACTTCTAGGTATTCGGTGTACCCAGGCTCTACAAAGATGTATCATGATCTTAAGGAAGTCTACTGGTGGAATGATATGAAGAGGAAGGTAGCGCTCTTTGTGGTAAGATGCCCAAATGGTCAACAAGTAAAGGCCGAACAACAAAGGCATGGTGGGTAGAAATTCCGATATGGAAATGGGAAATGATCAATATGTACTTTGTGGTGGGACTACCTTGCACGCCTCGCAAGTTCGATTCGATTTGGGTGATTGTGGATCGACTCACGAAATCATCTCACTTCTTACCTGGTAAGGCTACCGACACAGCAGAACAATATGCTCAATTGTATATCAAGGAAATAGTCAGGTTGCATGGCACTCCAGTTTCTATTACCTCAAATCTAGGGGCACAGTTCACGGCTAATTGTTTGAAGAAATTTCAGAAAGGTTTTGGTACAAAGGTGAATTTTAGTACAGCCTTCCATTCACAAACTGACGGGCAGGCAGAGCAGATTATTCATACGCTCGAGAATATGTTGCGCGCTTGTGTTCTTGAATTCAAGGGTAGCTGGGATGATCATTTGCCACTCATAGAATTTGCCTACAATAGCATTCAAATGGCACTGTTCGATGCTTTATATGGTTAGAGATATAGATCTCCCATTGGATGGTTCGAGATTGGGAAAGTAGAGTTAATAGGGCCAGACCTTGTGAATCAGGCTATGAAGAAGGTTATGATCATTGCGGAATGGTTGAAAACTGCTCTGAGCCGCCAGAAGTCCTATTCGGATATACGTCGTAGTGATTTGGAATTCAAAGAGGATTATTGGGTATTCTTGAAGGTTTCCCCCATGAAGAGTGTAATGCAGTTTGGTAAGAAAGGGGAGTTGTGTCCGAGGTATCTCGAACCGTACATAATCATTCAGAGGATTGGTCGGGTGGCTTACAAGCTTGAACGACCTCCAGAGATGTGTTCAGTGCACCCGGTGTTTCATGTATCTATGTTGAAGAAGGTGATTGGAGACCCGTCGCTTATTGTTCCAATTGAAACTGCATCTGATATGGGTGGAAAGGCATAGAATCTAGTTAGAGTGCCACTTGTTTGGCCTTCATCTCTAGGGAGACCCTTACCCACCTGCCCTCTGCCTCTGGTAGGCTGGACGAGCGGTGCAGCAACTGGTACGGTAATTATGGGCCGATAGCCCTGTTGCACCCTATTTTTTACTAGTCAAGACAAGATTCAATTTCTGGTTTCTCTATTGTTGATGAAAGAGAGTCGCCACCTAATATTTAAAGGTATAGTAGGATACCTATTTAATTACTAAGTTATGTTCATTATGGGTCTCCAAACCGGTGAGATTATGGGTAAGGGTTTTTGTTCTTCTAAGGGGAAGGTGTTAGGCACCCCTTAAAATCTACCTGAGGTAGCTCCATAGGACTTAGACTAATTTTAAGGAATCACTTATTTATACTATGCTTAATTATTACTAAGGCATGGCTTACTACATGTTAAAGGGAGTATATGCAAGACTTAGAAGGAGTGTAGGATTATAAAAGAGTGATTGAAGGTTAGGAGAGTTTGAGAGTGGTATATATTTTAATGCTTTTAATTATTAAGTCATGAAAGTAAGTGCATTGAAGAATAGATGCTCGTGTAATTTTGAAAGATATTTATAAGAAATTGATTTTAAATGTACCTAGGTTTTTTTTTATTCTGAAGAAGCGAATCTTTGAAAAATTCATTTGCGACGGCAGTACCTTATTGCTTTTATGAGAAAATTGATTTTCATTCCATGTTAGTAAATTCCAATGATATTTTCCTGATTTTCTTTTCAAAATGAGCTGCTGTTTTTTTATTAAAGTCCTGAGCTTCAAAAAAATCCTTATGAAAGGTGAGTATACAAAATTAACAAACTATAATTGATAGGGGCGAAGATCAATTACTAATTAATTCCCTTAAGTCATATATTAGTTAAGGTTTGCCTATGTTTCATATGATATGAAGTACAAAGATAAAGCACATAATTCAATATAGGAGTGTTGAATACATGATAATGAAATGCGATAAGACAACAAAGGCAGTAAGGGAAAATAGTGAAGGCAGTAAACTAAGATATGGAAATAATGAACAATAACGAAGGAAGTAGGGAGAGAGGACTGGATAATGATTGGGCCTCAATAAGGTAGGCCCAGATATTTGAGAGGTGTGGCTATGACAAGACTGGACTCTTCAAAGATGCAGCAAAGTTGGTTTGGGCTTGAGCTCCTTAAGAACTCAGCAGGCCCAAAGGTATACATGCCCAAAAATAAAAGAAGGTCATTAGAAATATACTCCACATTCTCAGCATATTCAAATATACATGACAGGAATATAGACAAATAATTGAAACAAAGAATAATTAATACTGTGGGAAATTATACTAATGTGATTTAGCAAATAATTTACATTAAAAATCTTTCATTGTTATTAAACATTAAACCCCCAAAGAACTAAATGTGTCAATGAATTAAGGGCTAAGGAGGAAGCTCCACTCAAGGTCGATGCTCCCTTTGTATCCCTAGATACTTCAAAGTTCCCAAGGGACTCAAGGCCTAGGGCAATGCTTGTGCCGGGGATGGCAGCCCAACCTAGAGTCGAACTCCACTACCAAATATCGTTAAACACTAACAACATGTTTTCCTTACGGGTTTAAATGCCAATGAGACATTCCAATGTAAATTGAATGATATAGCATTACCTACCACAAAATAGATACCCCCACNATTTTAAAGATCTGATTCTGAAACACATACAGGTGAGCATTAGAAACATCATAAACATGTTACAAAAGTCTAAATTAGAGTAAAGCAATACTCTAAGGAAAGGTAAAGCTATACAGCAACAACTCAACATATATAAATGTTTCTTGTGTATGGCAAACCTAGTGTGAACTGACTGACTTTGCTTTCAGCACATACATAGGTTGGTACTACTATATTAACACTTTTAAAGAGAATCACCAATGTAAATTCAGGCAACACAATTATGACTAATCATTTACAGAGGTTGTTAAAGACATCTAGGACATTATCAAGCCTTTCATCAGGTATGCAATTTACAGACTATAACATGGAATCCCTAAGGATTTCTATAGAATCATACTCCTAACAAATCATCAAGTTCATATAACATCAGCAAGGATCCTTATGAAACTTTAGGGATTAGATTTGGTTTTAAAGTTATCAATAGGGAAAGGACTAGGGCAGTTCTAGACAGGATATAAAATTAGGAGCTAAGAAAGAGCATGCAGTATTCAATTAGCTACTTAAACATTTCAGGTCAGTAATGATCTTATGAAGACAAGGGAAACCTTACACATTTTGTATAATTATATTAAGCAAAGGTTACAGATAAGGGAAAGACATTACATCATGACAGTTTCAACTCAAACTTAAGTCTAGGTTAGTACATGAATACATAGATAATCATGCTTCCTTTTTCACAAGTTATCACTTAGTTTGGGCGGAGTAACTAGGTCCTTTTAAAAGATAAAATGCATGCCAGCCTCATAAGAGATATTATACCGACTGGCACTCCTCTATCCATTTCGTGGCAGCATTCTTCTTTAGCAGCTTGAAAATGGGTTCACATATTACCGTGGACTGGGCTATGAAATGACTGATGTAATTCATAAAGAGACGTGTGAAATGGTCCCCGTAACTCTTCCCTATGAGAAGGTGGAATATATCTCTCCATAAAGAGACGTGTGAACTGGTCCCAAGTGAAGGGAGGTGAACCTGCTGGCCTGCTACAAAGATAAGACTGTCACCATCTATGGGCCTTGAGCTCCAACTAAAATATTGTGAAGTCCACCCCGTTGGACTCCAATACTCTCATGCTATGCAGCATGTCCCTACAATGATCAATGAAGTCCTGTGGGTCCTCATGTCGCTTACCATAAAAGACAGGAGAATGTAGCCATATCTACGTGTCCAACCGCTTCTGCAGCTCGACAATCACAACATGTCTAGGCTCTAGTATAACCACTGTATTTGGCTAAGCCTCACCCGCAGGTAGTGCACCTGGGGTCTGATATACGGCAGCAGCGTGCCTTGGAACCTGAGAAGAAAAGGTCTATTCTCCCCCTCCCGCCTGAGATATGGTTGGGTTCGCTGGAAATAAACCAGCATACGTCATAGAATCCATGAACCGTAGCATGCAACCCATGACCTCTTGAAATCCCGGGGCAGTTATGAAATCTATCGGGGTCCGCTCAGCTGTAGGCACCTCATCCTGCTCCTCAATAATAGGATCCTCTACTGGATCTACTGGTGGTACAACAGGAGCAACTCTAGGACACTCTTGTCATCTAACAGGAGCTAGAGCCCTCCCTCAGCCTCTGCCTCGGCCTCTAGCAATAGGGGGAGCAACGCCTCTACCACCGGGTACAACTGCCACACGCGTTCTCACTATCTATGAGAGAATAAGAGAAAGATACTTAGCACAACAGCAATTGCATGATGGGAGATAAAGAAGAGAAGTTTTGTAATACCTTATAGCCTCTCGAAGATAAGTACCGACATCTTCGAACCTATCCGCAACACTCTATTAGGCCTGCTCATGACCTATGAGACCTATGTGAACCTAGTGCTCTAATACCAAGCTGTGATGATGCAATTCCAACTACAGGTTGTGATGGCGCCCAACGTCGCCGTTAGACAAGCCAACGATAAACTATCCATTTAATTTATCTTTTATTATTTTTAAAGTCCTGACTTTTTATTTCTTAATGAAACCAATAACAAATGGTCGTGGTGATATAAAACATAAAATAAAACATATGAGTGAAGTAGTGAAATTAATAGGCAAAAACTATAAATATCTACTAGCAATTCCCAAATCCTGGTGTCACAAGTGCATAAGCAATCTAGTAGAATATACAAACCACTACAACTACTGTCCTAAATGAAATAGAAATAAATATAAAATAAAGTGTAATAGGAAGGGGACTCCACGTGCTGTGAATCAGAGCATAGAGGAGGAACTCAACACTAAGTCTCCGGGTAATGTGGATGCGTGCCTGATCGGATACCATATGTACCTGCCTTAGTACCTACACAATTTGTGCAGAAGCATAGCATGAGTACGTAAACAACATATACCTAGTAAGTATCTAGTCTAACCTCAAAGAAGTAATGATGAGGGGTCTACATCGACACTTACTGGAGGTCAATAAATAAAGTGCAGGAATTATAAATAGGCATGAAATACAACAGTAAAAATGGAATAAGAAAACAATAAATAATAATCATTTAACAGAATGTCAATTTAAAATCTCCAATTATCACATGCCAATTTTAACAAATAAGAATCATCAAGTAATTATCAAATCTCAAGTCATGAAGGAAATATCAAGTATAACCGGACTCCTAGCGACATCACACACAAACTATGCCGAAGTCGTACGGCCCGATCCAGAATAATCGTGTACATTGTTGAGGGTTGACCAGCGCAAAGCATAGATGCATCTAAATATATTTCTGATGCGTTCGGCCCAATCCACAAGAATAGAGAAACTCTACAAACTACGGTCAATGACTACAACACAGAATAATACTCAAAGAAGGAATAATTTCCACCAACAATCAAGTATTCTGCCAAAACATAAGATAATGAAGCTCAGTCTCATAAAATCCCATATCCAATTTCAATTATAAATTCCAGTAATTAAATTAACAAGTTGGGTTCAAATAATACAAGTATTGCATGGTAAAGTCCTAAGTCTATCCGGACATAAGCATGATTTTAGCTATATACGGACTCTCGTCACTTCGTGCACACGTAGCACCCGTAATTATTATCAAATAACAATTAAACACCTATGGGGATAATTCCCTCTTACAAGGTTAGCAAGAGACTTACCTCGCTTCCAAGTTCACTACTCGGCTCTTCAACCACACTAATTGCCTCAAATCGATGTCGAGCAAATCCTAAACTACCCAAAGGTCATACAAACTAATCAATATATGCTCATAAGTTCATAATTTAACTATTAAAGTAATTAACCAAACCAATTTGGAAAATTCCTAAAAGTCACCT